TCGAAAATATCGTCATGCCGCAGAAGCACGTGGGACAAGCATTTCCGTTTAATGGCTTCACGCCAATTCCATTTATCACTGCCTATCTATCGGATACATCTGTCGTAAGAATTGATCGAAGCCACGAGCTTTCGATTTAAACTACAGTCGATCAAAATCAATCGGTTTTTTCTCCTTTTAGAGAAAAAAATTGGTACTGTGATCTCTACGTATAGCAAACGTAAATGCAATTAATCACGATTGGTAATGTGACGATTTACGACATTAATTATCTCGAAATGTACATAAATATTTATTTATTTCAATATATAGACAATTATGAATCAATGTAATCAAATCGTTTTTCAATATTGATATGGTATAAATCAAATATTATTTAATCCATTTGTAAATCCAACTCTGCTTGAATCGATGCACAAACAAAGCGATGTATGACAGAAATGATTTACAAAAACGATCAAGTTTCCTTTTTATCCCGACGATCACAAACTTAGTTTCAACGTCGAAAGAACAATAAGAGTTACATAATCAATTTCTTGAGATGAAACATAATACTTGCGGCCAAGATTTGACTCGAGAGATTTTTCGAGATGACAAATGCTCCTGTTCGAATCCGCGTGGGACTTTGCGAGGCGCGTTGCTGCAATCGCGTGTCTGCTTTCAAAAGAAGAGAAGACGATAAATCTGTGGAACTCTATTCGATAATTTTATGAATAAAATCCTACGATCTTGTGAATTTTTTTAACGATTATTGTTTAAGAGCCAAACCTTAAAAAAAAAAAATTAACATAAAAAAGCATTACAGTGTCTTTAATTAAGAAGACGCACATACGAACTAGCTATAGGCCATGACTGAAGTCGCTTAGTATGAAAAACGAAGAGTCGCTCGTTTAAAACGTCCTTCGAGATACGAGAAGCAAAAAAAAAAAAAAAAAAAGGAGAAATAAAATAAAAGGAAAGTGAGCGAAAGAAATACAGCGTGCAGAACTCACGTAGAGGCGATATCTAATGAGGCAAACTAATTAAGATACGTCCGTGTGAATGTGTGTAATAGAGACTCTCGTAAAAAATGCATCGTCCTTATTGGCCATGAATAATAAAGTGAGCGTAATACGTGCTGAAAAGAAAGATATAAGAAATTCAATACTTATTTGCTTTCAACTAACAAAGAAAATTCATAATTCTCATAAATAAAAACATTTTTAAATCTTGACAAATTACAATGTAGATATATACGTCGCGATGCACTGAAAATAGTAAAATAAAAATCGAAAGCAGATAGAATCTTAATGAAATACTGGGGAAAAAAAAAAAAAAAAAAAAAAAAAAAAAAACAAAAGAGAACAAAACAAAACGAAACCTTCATAAACTGGTATTCTTTTCGAATAAAAAAAAAAAAAAGAGGTAACTAAAAAGCTTCGTCCTTTTAATTAGCCTTAGCCCAGATCGAGCAATCAATATTTAACGCTTATATGAGAAGAAAAGTAGTAAAGTTTCAAAGGAAGACACTTGGGTTTCTCCTGCAAGGGAATAAAATCAACGAAGGTCGTCCGTGCCATGGACTACAGTTTTAAGTATGCCCGTAGAATTTCAAGGCGGAGAAGCCAAGCTTTGGCGAATGTAGAAAGTACAAGGCACGTGAGACAGTGACGCCCAACGGTATCCGAGTTCAAGGATGAGAAAATAACCACGAAGAGATAACGATATTTACTCAGTCGTTCACCACTAGTAGGCATAAAAGTCGTCGTCGTCGTCGTCGTCGTCGTCGTCATCGTTGTCTTCGTTGTCGTTGAAAATCGTAGTCTCTGCATTTTATCTTCCCCGATAAAACAAAGACGGAGTTAAATATAATGTTTAATATTCGAATCTATCCTACCTCAACAAAATGTTACAATATCTAATTAAAGAGAAATGAAATTAACTGAGAAGTCTCTTATCAGATCATCAAAGATACACGATACGGTAATTAACATTATTCCTATTTGTTCCTTCACTCATTAATGGACAATTATATCGACAATCAGCGTTACATCTCGAAGGAAGGCATAATTATTCCTTCGAATCACGACATCAATCTACTATAAGAGAAAACAAAAAGTTTATCCTATAACACAGCGCGTTAACCAATCGAACGAGTCTGCTTGATAGCTCATTAAAGGCACGATTAGTACGCTAAGATCGTTCGATGATGAGAAAGAGGGAAAAAAAAAAAAAAAGAAAAAAGAAATGTAAAAATAATCTCCCTCTACGAATGATCGACATCGAGGAGTCTCGTTAAGAGAGAGAGGATAATGAGAGGATTCAACAAAGAGAGGAAAAAAATAGATCATCTCGATTTCTTTCGAGAGCGTTACAAATCGAACAAAGTTCTGCAATGCATGCTTCGCTTGGATAAGTTTGAAACGAGTTCGTGATAGGTCCGTTGACGATGTACTCGGCCCAGTTTGGAAAAGACCGACAGAACTCGAGAAGTCCGATAGAGTAATAGCTACATACGTCGATAATAGTGCTTGGTAGAACTCTCTACGTTCGCTAGAATTCTCTTTTACAAATATCTCCTACCTTCCAAATTTTTCTGACAATGATCAGTACGTTCTAACACGTGGATGCTCGAATTGGGACACTTGAACATGTCCGTTGCTTATGGATATGCAAGAGAACAGATGTTAATGAAACAAATTGATATTTGATAAAAATTCTCTCATCATTACCTTAATATGCGTTGACAACATGTGACAAAAACTCTTAAGAAATAAAAATTGGAAAATATTCTGATTAAGCAATATCATAAACTTTTACCGTACAATATATTGTATATATATATATATATATATATATATATATATATATATACACACAAAGTACGCATGAATATTTAAGAAAATATTAATGATTAGACGATAATACAAGATGGATACGATCTTACTCCTAAACGTAACGACCGCTGATCTCGATTCTTACGAGCGCAAACTCTTTGTACCGACCATATTTCAGTCGCCAACGCCTCTTCGGTACAAAGTACACGATGTTACTCTCTCTTGGACCAAGTGATGGGTTCGTTGAACCGAATATCCCGATGGAGAGACCGCTCTTTCTCTCTCTCTCTCTTCACGATAATCGCTCTTGTATTTTATCGTCCCGCTTGCAGAGTCGCTCCTGCGTTTTACATCCGCCGAAATCGAATCGATGCTTCCTCCACTTCAGTGTTCGAACGAAGCGGAAGCTGTTATATATATGCATATCCATATATATATATATATATATATATATATATATATATATATATATAATATATATATATATCTGCTGTATTTATAAATGAGCCGCTTATATCAGTACACACTACTTGCCATTGACGAATTATTTTATTTTTAATTCTAATCCGTTCTACCGTGTTTCGATTTATCTTGACAGAATCTTTTTTGAATAACGCGGAATATATCAGCATGATTAGATAAAAAATAAGTAACGACGTTAAATTCGTTCAATCAACGAGAACTATCTGATTTACATTCGATGTCGTATATATCATTCTTTACTTATTTCCTTTTAATTAATATTAATTTCGAAAAAATGAGAGGAATTTTCAAGAAGAATTTCATTTTCTTCGAAAGCAAGATACTCGGATGATATTCTTTTTTCTTTTTATTTTCTTTCAAGAAAACATTTTTGCGACCGAATACGATAGAAGGGAGTCTCGGTGAAGTCGAGAGAATTGTTATATTCGTTTTGTACGGGTTGAAAATAAGGGTACAATCTCCCCTCTTCGCTTATTAAACCAGCCTGGTAATTTAAAGACGAAGACGGTACATTTCTTCTCTCTCCTTACTAAACCACCTTTCAGCGTCTGCAATCTTTCCGGACCAGGTGCGTCAAAAATTTACCCACTTTCTGAAGGAGTTTCCAGATTAATAATATTTATAATGCGAGTTCGGTAGAAGAATTGTTGCATTTTCCCTCGAGCGTGAATCTAAGAGATAAGCGAAGTGAATGAATTCTATTTTGTTAAGATATAAAAATTCAAAGAGCCAGTTTTTAATTTATAATAAAATTAAATTCATAACGGCATTAGTTCGCTCTTCTTCTTCCGATTCCTTTTAAATCGTCTCGTTAAGTGAACCATGAATTATAGAACAAAATATTTCGTAATAATTCTTCTCAAATGTTCATATTAAAAAAATCAAGTTGTACGTTGTTTCATCGTAAAATATTCGTATGTATAAAGTAGTACACACACACACACACACACACACACACATATATATACATATATATTAAATAAAAGACAACAAGCGGTATAACAATACTTTTTATAGCTGTTGCATAAAATAAATTCGCATTATATTATCCATTATATATCTCTAATAAAGAAAATAAACGAAACTTCGAATTCTATTTTGCGAAGGCGAGAGGATACCTAGCTCGATTCGATGAAGATTTATCCAGGAGGAATCTGCCCGAGGGAAAAAGAGATGACCCGTTTCTTCTGGAATTCTTAAAAAACCCGGAAAAAGAATCGGTCCGTGATGAAAGAAAAGACGAAAGCAATGTGACACAATGAGAAGGAGAATATTTTTTTCTTCTGTTTTTCCTTCGAAGGAGCCTCGTTCCTCCTATATTTTTTATCCTTTTTTCTTCATCGTTTCTATTCTCTTTTTCTATTTTTCCTTTCTCACATTTCTCGAACAAGAAATCCAGGTAGTGTCACATGTCACACTGCTCGCTCGTTATTTGACAGAAGAAATGATGGCAAACGCAGCTGGGTAAAAGTGTAGTCTGAAAAATTCTACGATATCGAGAAAGTATCCGGTTAGGAAGTATGAGTAGTAAGGATCGAAATCTTGTATATGTGTGTGTGTTTCTCTTTCTCTGTCTCTCTCTCTCTCTCTCTCTCTCTCTCTCTCTCTCTCTCTCTCTCTCTCTCTTTCTTTCTCTCTTGCTCTTTCGAACTCTCCCTCTATACTCGAGACCTGCACCTCCTCGTCGACATGGTGGACTCGACGACGGTAGCAGCCTCAGTCGTTCGCGAACCTCCATCGAAGAACGTTCCTCGTACGAATTGATATAAATGTACACATTATCGAACGAACTATCGAAAAATCCTTAAATTTAAAGACAATTGAAAAATGTTAAGGAACCATTTTCTTTCCCCTACGAATAGTCTCCATTAGTGGAATTACGGTTATTTTTTTTTTTCTAAAAATAAAAAAAAAAAAAATAAAAGAAATAGAATCGATCAACGAGAAACTTTACTCCATTTTCTTTTTTCATCGATCGTTAAGTCGATCGATCGTATAAAAAAAAAAGGGAATCAAAGGTGCTATAAACGCGGCTCAGTGCTTGAGAATGAGGACGATTTCGTATCTCCGTCTTCGCACTACTACCGACGATTTTGGTGAATAAGTTGTCTCTATTTGTACTCTGACATAAATCATGTGGAAAATTTGGATCCTCTTGCTCTGTGCCACAGGTAAAAACCGCACCCGTAACGTTGCTTATCTTAATGGAAAATAAATACTCGTGTTAGTTCATTTTTCTTTTTTTTTTTTTTTATGATCGCATTATAATATTATCGTTATTATAATATTAAATAAGAAGATCCATTTATCGAATTTTCTCATGGATATTTTTTTTTTCATTTGTTAAAAATAAATGTCATCGATGGATTAAAATATAATAAAATAATAAACGCAAAAGATAAAATATCGAGTTTTTAACTTAAACATTTGTGGAAACGTGCTGTTAAAAATAGAAGCGAAACGATACGCGAGCGCGTTAAGAAATTAGTCTTAATTAACATTATTAAACACAAACATTTATCGATGCATATATCTTTGAGTATGGAATGTTAAACCCACATTTGTCCCACGCATCGTACAAACTCACACAGGTAACGATCGTCGCATGCGCGCATACTACACGCGACGGACCAATTAGAGATTTTCAAATTGGCTCGCCACGATAACACGCTATCTCACTCCAGATGGGAATATGCGTGAAGCCTCGATGATAAAACGATGAGATAAGAATTTTTTCGAGAAAGTAAAATCGATTAGAAGACATCGCTTCAAGGAAACGATGTACGCGATGCTTTCGTTTCGTCCTGTTAATAACTTGAAGGTTAAAAGAAAAACAAAAGAAAAAAAAAAGAGATATAATTAATTTTTATGTCTCTTTTCTTTTTTACGAATTCCTGCAACAAGATTATCGTAAGATCATTGCGATTGAACTATTGACAAATTGCTATGTGCCAACAGAGCACATAATCGATTCAAACAAGTTCAATTCTTCTTTATCATCCTTGATCGACGATTGAGAGCCATTAAAAATCGTGTCCTTGCGCTTTGTCCTTCACCGACAAACAATTTTATATTCCTATTAGATCGTTAAACCTTTCACAAGAACGATAATAGAGGTATAGTAGTTTGTAATGTTCTCTTGTAAATCATCTCATTCTTTTTAATTTAAAATTATAAACTATAAAATTATAAACTATAAAATTATAAACTATAGGTTTTTATTTTTTAAATAAAAAATTTATAAAACATCGATTAAATCTTCTTAACTACTTATCGTTCAGAATAACTACACGTGAAATGAACTATCAAGTCCGGTATGTACTGAACGTGTTAATTGCTCAAGCGATTGTCAGGTAACTCAATAGAATACCAGCCTTGCGGGTTAGATGCTATCAGTAAATGATCCAGTAATCGAATTACGTTGTTACTCTATCCCGAAGCACGAGAGCGAGAGAGATAGATGCAGAGCTTTGGAGCCAACCGGTTAAGATCTATTTTCGCCTGTTGAGTATCCATTCGCGAAGATAGAGCGAGAAAGAGATAGAATAGTAAAATGGTGCGAGCATACTATCTCAAGCTAAATAGAAGACATTTCTCTTTCTTACTTGGAATAGCATGTTCGTGAGAAAAGGCACAATAAATTGTCAAAGACTAAAACGAACTATGGTATTATCTGTCTCTCTCGTTTAACTTATGTAATACTATGTGTCAACTTATCGCATAAACGTTTAAGACATATAAGAAAACATCGAGTTTGCCTATCATTGAATCTTTAATATATACGTTTGACATATTTTATAAATCGACAATAAATGACTAGCGAGAATCTGGTCTTTCTCTTTCTTTTTCGTTTGATTACTTTCGATAAATAACAATTTTCAAGGATAAACGTTATCGCTTAACTTCGAATTTTATAAAGACAAGCTATAAAAATCCGCTATTTTTATTTCTCTAATTAAAATGTATAAATCGTTTATGCGATGTACTTAAAAATAGATAAAAATTTTTTAAGTTTTAAAATAATATTAAAAATTCAATCCCATGCATATGTCATTCGTTTACTTTATATGTATATCTTGAAGAACGAGCGGAATATTTAACATACGCATATATTAATGTTTATGTAACTAAGAAGGAAATATATAAAATAATAAAATAGTGATCGTAGAGCCAATTGAAGTTCGTGAATGAGTCATGCGCGAAATTGCACCCGTTACAATACAGAGCTCGAGTTAACCTTGTAACACATAGCGCATGTTATTTACAATATGAATGGAAGTACAAGTATTGGGTGGGCGAACCTATCATCTCTTATCATCATCAAATTTTTAGTGGAAAAATGTAAAAATTCTTATTTCAACTTTTCGATGATCTTCAAAATTTTGGTGATATGGAGATAAAATCCATTAATGCCATAGTCAAGGGATTATCGAAAGTTTACCAATATGCTGTCACCATGGACTTGCAAATTTCCACTTTAACGCGACGTGCTCTGTTACTCATGAATTACATATTCTCTGGAAAACCGCTTACACAGCGTTCTTTTGCATATCTGTTTGATATTGCTAAAGTGTGTACACGTACAAGATGAGTCAACGACTGTTGTCATCCAATATAATAATCTATTTACCGATTTAAGATATATCGTTCAATATAAACCCCTTAATGCGTACGATATGACTCAGTTATCAAACGTAAAAAACTTTTTCTTTTTTATAAAATCGATAAAGAAAATAACGCCGAGCAAAGATAGTTCTTGACACGACCTGTATAAATCGCAAGATATTCAACACATACTTTTACTAATACTACAAAAAAAAAAAAAAGGAATAGATAAGATCGAATATTAAAAGGCAAAGATAAAGTGTTTGAACGTTACTTTTAAACTTTCTTCTATTTTTTATCTTCGAAACGAGTGATAGAAAATAAAATTATGATCGATATTACGTACTGGCGAGCTCGAATACTCGTTTTAAAAGCCTCTCGTCTTTCCAACTTTGAAATAAATAAAATGGTGTGGTTGTGGAACGATAGTGATCATTCGATATATCGAAAACCGTATAAAATATCTGTGAGCTCCATCGAACTCATCCACGGAAAATGAATCTCTCGAAAGCTAGCATCCGTGCAACGATTTAAAGTGTAACGATGATATCATATCTTCCTGATGAATGGACGATATCGTTTTCGCAAACAAACGATCCTTGACCAAGTAGTAAAGTGGAGAACGACTCTCTAGCAATCCTCTCACGAGTTACGATGTTGGAAACCACAAAACTGGACCATTCCTACGACAGTGAAATTTAATTTACGATAAAGCGTAACCGCGTGTGTACAATAATTCACGTTCTACCTGTACTGATATAAATTATTGGATTGCGAGAAGTGAATGATTCGACGTTGAATCTATATAGAACATAATCAAAATAATAATAAATATATTTGCGATTCAAATTCGACGCAAAAAAGAATTAAATTTTTTTTTCTTTGAACAAAAAAAAAAAAGAAAAGAAGACAAAAAAAAATTACGACAAGAATGATATTTACTCTTTATCGAGATATCTCCAATAGAAACTTTATTTTCGAAGTTTAAAGATCGAATTATCAGGACGAAGGATTAACAAACGAGTTGAAATTTGTTAAACGAACATACTTTCTCTCTCTCTTTCTTTTACACACACACACACACACACACAGTTGGCGCGCATACATGCAAGTTCATATGAAAACGTTACGTAAATTTACTTCTTAACGAGCGCCAACTCGTACTATCTATATAGAAATATTTCGGAAAAAATTGTGCATGCATTCGCAGAGTAAAAATAAAAAATTCTCATTCAAATTTGCATCGAATGCATACGTTTCCATTTATATCGGTACAAACTCCAGTCGGTTCCCGATATACGATCGCGAACTCCATATACGTGAACACGATAAAACCTAACGATTCCTGAAGTAATATCATTTGTTATTACGCGCTGAAAAGAGAACGATTCTAACCAAGAGAGCGAATACCAGTCGCCAAAGCACTTCTTGGCAAGTTTTAAAGAAATACCTTGGTGAAGTTCCACTTTTCAAACGACCAACCAATTTATTGTAGATTAAATTGGAATTCGTGCAATAAAACGAATTATATAATCTAATGTATACGTGAGGATAAATGAAAACTGCGTCAATTTGACGATACGATTAACAAAGACATTAAATTTTGATAAAGGGATCACATCAAAGTTAAAATAATAAAATGTACAAGAAAGTTGTCAATCCAACTGTTTTACTAATATTATTTCGAACAATACAATTATTTTGTCTTCATTCATTGATATAATAGACGCTGATATATCATTTTTGGTGTCTCGTCAACTTAATAGCAAAGACAGCTTTCTAGTACGATATTGTTTCTCGGAATAGGCATCATTAAATGCATTGAACGGGGTTAAGCACATTCCACCCTACGCGGAAGTTTATTTTCAGCTTGGCTCTTCTCTATCGATGGACTATTCGGTTTGTTTCTCAACTTTTCGATACGATAATTCTTTACTGATCTTCTTATCTCAATAGGATGTTTCGCGAAAGAAAGAGGGGATTTGAAAGAAAAGTGTCATTGATAACCATTTGAAAATAGGTCAAGAAGATCGAAGATAACTAATATAAAGAAGAAGAGAGAGAGAGAGAGAGAGAGAGAGAGGAAAAAAATATAGAGTAAATACATACAGATATCAATGATATTTGTTTAAAAAAAGAAAAGTAAAAAGTAAGAGCAATCGGAAAAGTAATGAAAGATCTTGGTGAATGTAATAAATAGTCGGTCATTCTCTGAGAGAATCTTTATTATCGGTCAATTAGATCAGAATGAATGAGAATGACACGAACCATGTTACCGCCATAAATTCGTGTTAGAGTTAAGCCATGTAACTATTCATAAATACCAGAGGCTATTAAACCGATTAATACAAAGAATATAATTAATACCGAGTTTCACATAAAATTTCGTGCAACTACGTCATTAATAATATAGTCGTTAATAATAATGGTGACATGGATTAATTATTGGATTAAAAAAAAAAAAAAACCAGATATGCAAAGAGAATACATTGAAATAAAAGATTCGTCCATAAATGTAATGAACATGAATGATTTTGGAAATGGGATTAATACAAAAGTAACGAGCTAAAAATTCTGCTTAAATTGATCCCTCTTCAAATCCCATTGTATTCGACATCGTACGAGAGAAAATTGATTCTCAAACAATAGCCCGCATTTGTCGGAACGATCGACAAATATATTCTTTCGTAATAACGTAGGCGTCTATGATTATTCAACCGTAAAACAGACATATGTATGTTGGTACTTATGTAATTTTTTTAAATTCCTTTCAAGAATACATTACAAAAATGTATTCGATTAGAACGGCCAAGTACTAGCCTTCTGTCTAACTATCCTAATGAAATTCAAATCGAACGATGAACCGAAATTAATTAAATCGAGCATTAATTGGAAAGCAGAGAACTGAACGCGCAAATAACTACGAGAAATGCTTTCCAACCGTGCAACTCGAAATTCATTGAATAGGATGCTTCCAAGATGAGATATAAATTCTAACGAAATATTAAAAGTAAAATACACAAGTCTATACTCGTATACCTTTGATATTATAAAATAGCATATCGTATATATTAATGAAAGTATATGAAAATTTGAAAAAGCTTCGAATGAAATACGTATTTCAAACTAATAAAAAATTTCTCATCCTTTCAGGGATATCCTCAACCTTGGTAGATTCTCATAGTTTCGGTATAACCATTCCACCGAAAATTCAAGATAAAACAAATCAGCAACACGAACCGATCAGACGCTTCGCATGTCCCATAGGATTTTTTCGATTGAAAAGATTTTGTTATTACCTGAGCGCGGGTACAGCACCCTGGAGAGAGGCGTATTTCCATTGCAAGGATAGAAACGCGACTCTCGCGGTACTTGATAGAAATGGAAAAGATAGAATGTTAAGGAAATATCTGATGGGCGATCAATTCAGTGAGTATAATTTATATATATATATATATATATATATATATATATATATAAATGTACATTTATATGTACATCTAAACATGCAAGACAATTGTTAAATAAAATTTCTTAATAAGAAAAATCGTAATTGCTCGTTAGCCTTTCGTAATGAAAACAAATCTTTTTTAGCGAAATTAGAACGGTGGATAGGTGGGATTTATAACTGGCAACAGATGGCTTGGGAATGGGGTGTGACCGGTGAGAAAATGGTTTTTCAGAGCTTCGGTAAAATAAATCCTGGCAAGTCCGAACAATACGCCTGGCATTGCATTGTATTAGATCCTGCTTTGAAATATAAATGGAACGCCAAAAGTTGTGTGCAACGGAAGCATTATATATGTGAGGTACCAGCCGGGAGAATAGGTGAAAATATAATAATACTAATAATACATGAAGTTATCTTGTTTAGCGACGAATTTTCTGAAAGGCTTCTTTTAAATAAAATGAAATAAGATAAAACTTTGTAAAAATTGCAGTCAAAAGACGTAAAAAGAAGGCCGATCCCTTTGCACCACAAAACCAAAGATTAAAACCTCGCAAACAAGGAAAAAAGTATCCTGGTGAGCTTCGAAGGCAAAATAATAGACGAAAAAAGGAACAAACTGATTGGGGGCGAGACTGGGCAGAACAAACCGCGAATCAACAATGGGCACACGGAGTGAATCCTGGTTCAAGGCCACCTGTCAGGTAAATCATCTCAAATAATTAGGATCAATTGTGATTAATAAAAAATCTTTTTCTTTTTCCTTTTCTATTTTTTTTTTTATCTCCCTCATTGAAATATTCTTATTTTCTTCGTAATTTATATTACAGAATGAGAAGTTCAAGAGAAAAAATGCGACATCACTCGAACAGAACTATTTCGAATGCAACTGTGCCGAAAGTCGCTCAAATTTTACCTCAAAAGCAAGGATATGGTACTTTTTTGGGAGATGGGCCAAGCAGTACGATACATAATCAGCCACAAGCTTTATCGAATGTAAATGACGTACTATCTCAATTTCAAGCGAAGATCAACGACTTCGCGCGAGAGGAGGTTTTGCTTAAACCTTGAAAAAATGTAGACCTACCATCGAATCATCGGCTTCTCGCAATGCCTTTTTTCTTCTCTCTCTCTCTTTCTCTTTCTCTCTTTCTCTCTCTTTTTCTCTCTCTCTCTCTCTCTCTCTCTCTCTCTCTCTCTCTTTTCTATTTAGTAAACGTTCTTCCTTTTTTTAGATTATAAACAAAAATTCGAGAATTCTCTCGAGGCTACAGACTGAGATAATTTATTATATTGCAAATGAAAGATTGAACCCTTCGCAGTTCCTTTTTTCTCTCTGAACTTCATTAATTAAATCATAGCTAAACGATTAAATTGTAGACAACAATATAAGAAAAAAAAAAAAAAAAAAAAAAAAGCTATTATAACTATATATAAAATGTTAGAATCTAATTGCAAGTTGTTCTCTTTAATAGCTTAATATATGTATGGTTTTAAAGATGTGTATTTGACGAAAAATTATCCCATACTTAAAATCTTTCCAAATTAGAAAAAAAAATAAACTCAAGTTCGAGAGTACGAGTACCCATGTATTACGACATATCAAATTAGTATTTCTTCGCTATTTATGAAAGCTTCGAAAAAAAAAAAAAAAAAAAAAAGAAAAAAAAACATAAACATTTGTAATATCGATCGATGTTATAGGAGCCCATGTTATTGAAATTCATTTACTCATTTAGCGATTAAGCATTACCGCTAGTTGAAATTCTTAGTTCTAACTCGTTATATACACATATATATATATATATATATATATATATATATATATATATATATTATATATAATTCTATTGAGATAATGTTACTTTTACACTGCTTTGTCTGTAAATATGTAGAACCACAAACGCCTGTCTCGTACATTGTACGTTTAACGTCGTATGTTATAATTAAAATAACAACAATAAAAAACATTTAACCAAATATAGCATAGGTTCACTTACCTTGATGTAAGTACAAAGCGCGTCGCCCTTCAATTCCCCCGCAGAATCTCTATACAACTTAATCTTATCTTTGCCTTTCTCATCTCTGGCAATAAGACCACATTTATTGAAGAGTTCTGTAAGTTCCTCCAAAGTGATATCCATAGGTAATCCAGAGACATAGATGGCGGTATTATGAGCTTCATCTATCTCGAACCAAGTAGGTGGCTCCTGAGCTTTCCTCTTGGCTTCAGCTTTCTTTTGCTCTTTTGTTAACTTTGGTTGAGGAAGAGGTTGTACAGAATTTTCTGGTATATTCTGTGAAGGCTCTGTGGCATTAGAATTAGTAAATCCATAGCTCATTTGATATCTAGCCATAAAGTCTTCATCAACCTAACAATAAGATGGAATTTGAACATTACGTCTTAGCTTTGAAGCTAATTTTATATTATAAAGTTGAAAAAATAATATTACTTTAGGAAACCACGCATTCTTCTCACGATCCCAAATATAAACACTACCATCATTAGGGTCCGTATATGTATGAGTATCATTTTCAAAACCATATATTCCACCTGGAGCTGCTACCGCAGGTCCACTAGCCTTCTCTTTCTTTTCATCATCATTCTCCGATTCATTTTGACTCTGATCCTGAGAGACCCACTGATTTTTCACTTGATCAAACTTATATTTCACATTTGTTGTTTTATCCATATACACATAACTTTGTCCATCGAATTCGTACTGATCGGAATTATCTGGACTCTGGTCTCCTGTTTCTTTCGTTCCTGGAGCATTACTCATTTCAATAGTGAATCCCCAAATTCTTTTTTATCGAAATAAATCTAAATGAAAGAAATGCAACGCTATTTATCTGAACTATGATTAAAACGACATATTTTCGAGATTTTATAACAATCAATGTTAACAATACATCGTGTTAAAAATTAAGGTTAGAAATTGAAATTGAGGTTAGAATGAAAAATAATAAAATGTAACAAAAGAGAGCTTACCAACTACAATATTCTTATGATTTAGTAATAAAAATTGTAATGTTCAATGATAATAATTATTCTTTAACGATCTAAAATCTTGTTTAAAAGAAAATTAAACGTATATACGAACTTGACAGTAAGTTTTTTTACACGTTCTCTAAAGTCCAGACTAACGCACTCTACAGATTTTCCGATATAGTCTTTATATAGAACTGTGTCGGTAAAGAAGATTGCTCTATTAGTTTCCAGCAATCAAATATATATAGCATATTTTTTAATGAAAATAGACAATTAATTTTATAATGACGAATTAAATTTCTAAAGAAGATATTCACATCGTACACATACTCTCGACAATATTTTTCTTTCCTGCATGATAAAATAAAGAATTGAGTTATCTTTCAAGGTGAAAAATGTATAATAACAAATTGTGCATACAATATATTTTTGATTCCACATTTCGTCTTTATTACCAAGGAATCTTCAATGCATACAATATATACGAACTTATGTACATCAGAAGAGATATATGTAATTAAATAAAACTAATGTATATATTTCTGTCATCTGAACAAAAATCTTCTTTATTTTAATTTTTATTTATATCTTCTAATGAATTTAAGATTAAACTCAATAATCAAAGTAAAACATCTACATTAGTTAAATGTATACAATGTTTTAATATTAAATACGTGTAACAGATTTGATCCAGGATCGAATAGGTTGTGCTGACAATTTCGTATAAATTGTTGGTGTACTCGTACATCCATATCCCGTAGAATAAATGCCAACCAAAGTACCATTCACAATCAATGGATAACCAGAAGACGCACAGAGACCTTTCTTATTTATTTCATCTTTTGTGCAAAGCATCGTGTTCGAATTGAACTTTGTTCCATAATAATTTTTACAAAGCAAAGAATCGAGAATTGGCAAATCCAGTTTTCGAAGAATTTGGGAGAACGCTGGACTAGAGTTTGATATATAGCCCCAACCAGTGATGACAGCTGGTGAGCCACCTGCTACATTCTTATTAGCTTGTATTATCGAAATAGGCTTAACAGTTTTTCCATAAACGAAAGGCGTCGTCAAATTCAATAAAGCAACGTCATATTCATGACTACTACGATTATATTTTGGATGTATGACGAAATTGGATACTTTATAAACTCTACCACCACTTTGAGTTTCGTTGCTTCCAGCTCGAAGATTCACCATCTGTGGATTCTTGAAATTTAAACAGTAGGCTGAAGTGATAGCCCATTTTGGAGCAATTATAGAAGCTCCACATACGTCGTTTCGTCCGAAATAAATGCTCAATTGATAAGGATAATCGTTTATGGAAACCACTCTGCTACCAACAAATCTTGGCTCCAATGAATTGGCTCCATAGGATCCTAAAATAGGATAGAACCAAAAATAAATTGTTCTATGAAATTAAAATTAATGAAGAAAACCTTCGATATCTCACCAAGAGAAAGTATAATTGACAAACTTATGAAATGAAGTACAACCATCTTGATTAAAGAGAATCTTAACACTGACGAAATGCACCGATATTTATAGATAAGATTATCATCGATCTACCATTATCAATCAAGAATACCTGGAATAAAATATTATTTTGTAACGGTACGAGATAATATTTTTACTGATGTTATAATTACAACTGACTCATACTAATCATGAACTTCGAAGTTGATACTGTCCTAGAAGATGTTTATATTTATTCGTTATCGATAATTCCTTTTTGACATCTTTCTGAAGATGGTTGTATGTCTTTCAAACAGCAGTTTATTAATTATCACAAATTTTTTATACATTTAGCATATAATCCTTATTTATCGCAGATTTCAAAATTAAAATCCATCATGACGAACTCAAAATGCTCAAGTTTTCCCAGAAAATTGTTAGAAAAGATCATTAAAAGAGCTCAATCCGCAAATGTTCAAAGAATGATCTATCCCATTTTTCTCGCTTCAAAGTAACGTGTATCCTGTTATCATTGAAAATTAATGACAGAATTATTAAGCAACATTCACTTAAATTTGACTATTAAGCTTAACCATGCATGATTGGTTTAGTCAGATATTAATTGTATAGCGCCAAGGTGCAAGTAAGCAATAGTTCTGATTCTCTGGAATATAACATTTCGCATTTTTTTTCAATGAAAATAACCAATTTGTATAAGATAAAAAGGGAAAATTTTTTAAAGTTATGCCTGATAAACATGTATATTAAGAATGAATTATTTACTCGAATTGTTTTGTTAATCTACGTATTATTTATATTTACTGATAAATTTAAGATTCCTCAACAATCAAAATTAAATGTCGTCATTGATTAAAAATATATAATATTTCAATATTAAATGCGTATAACAGGTGTGATCCAGAATCGAATAGGTAATGTTGCCAACTTCGTATAAATTATTGATGAATCCGTATCCCATATAATAAATGTCAACCAAGGTACCATTCAGAATCAATTGATAACCAGATCTTTTTTGCAAAGCAACGTATTCAGGTCGAACTTGTTTGAGTTTCGTTGCTTCAAGCTCGGAGATCCATCATCTGAGGAATTTGGAAATTTAAACAGTAGTCTGATGTGATAGCCCATTTTTGAGCAATTATAAAACCTCCATATAATTATAAAATATATATCATTTAAAATCCGAAATAAATGCTCAATTAATAAGAATAATCGTTTATGGAAACCATCGTCCTATCAAAAAATTTTGGCTCCATCGAATTGATTTAATAGGATCTTAAAATAGGATAGAACCGAAAATAAATTGATGTTCTATGGATTTAAAATTAATGAAGAAAACTTTGATATCTTACCAAGGGGATATATAATTGACAAACTTATCAAATAAAATACAATCATTTTTTCCAGAGAAAATTTTAACACTACCAAGACATAATATCATTTATAGATAAGGTTCTCATCGATCTACCATTATCAATCGAGAATACATAGAATAAAACATTGTTTTTAAACGATACGAGATAATATTTTTATTGATATCATAATTACAACTGAGACTCATATTAATCATGAACTCCATTTAAAATGGATACTGTTCTGGAAAATGCTTATATTTATTAGTTATCGATTTTTTTTAAGATCTTGCCGAAGATCGTTGTGTGTCTTATAAACAACAGTTTCTAATTATAATAAATTTTTAATATACTTAAAATGTAATTTTATTTACCGCAAATTTTGAAATTAATGAGAAATTCAAAAAATTTGATATTTCCCGCTATATCGTTAAGAAATATCATTCAAAGCGCTCAACCCGCAGACGATCGTAGAACGATTGTTCCCATTATTCTTATCGTAAAGGAACGCTACGTGGGCCCGGTTGCCATTGGAAATTGATTTCCGGTTGCCAAGCAACGTTCACTTTAAGTCGCCTACCACGCTTAACCATGCCTGACCGGTGGTTTAGTCAGCTGCAGGTTGCGCGGCGTCAAGGTGCAAGTAAACCATGGGTCTACCAGACATAGAAAATATACCTGGTAATTGAATTTTCTTTTCCTCCAATTAAATTGCACCAACAATTGACATTACCTGTAACCCAAAATCTAATGCACTTGCAAACTCAATAGTGTAAAAAACGAAAAGAGACAATCAGGCGCGAAAAGTGTCGCGACCCTATGGCAATTGCCTAGTACATAATCG